GTGCTTCACTATATAAACTTTTATATAATTATGATCTGATATTACCAATGGAGTTAAGTTTACTTTTGCGATTGCTATGTGTTGTTAATGCTAGATCTTAGGATCAATATTTGACAAGCATTTTTACACTTGTACGAACAAAGAAGACAATAATGGTGTTACAACTCCCATTATTATCCACCTACAGAGTATAAAGTGGATGTCTTAGTATTAGTCATTTTTCCAATCTTACAATATATAGTTTGTCTAAAGGGCTCTTTACTTAATGAAAGGGACTATATTGGGTATTATAGCAAGTTAAATTGTAAGTTTATAACATATGGCATGATGTTCAACAAATTAATGTCCAGAAATTGTGTATGTGTAACAGCTGAAACATTTTGTATAAAGGAATCAAGAACAATTAATACCACTTACAAATTCACTAATGCCTTTTTTTTATGTTCTTTTAGATCTTAACCCATCAACTAAAAAACTTTAACTACCTTCCATTCTTCTTTTCGAAAGAAGAGGATGATAGGAAATTTAAATATACAATTACAATGCTATATACTAATATTAACAACTGTGCACTAGGGGTTTTGATAGCTATTGGATTAATTTCAATTTAGACCATTCGCTTTTATATAAAAATTAGGGTATTTGGGTTGCACATTTTTTATTTCATTTCTATATTTTATACACTCACAAAATGAGAATTAAATATTTGCCATATATCATTTTTAGTGTCCTTTTTTCCTTTAAGAAAAAAATAAATATATTACTTTATTAAACACATCAAGTACTATGAAAAATTCTTTTCATACAAAAATGTGGAATAATATTAGATCACATTGCACCAATCAATAGAAGAATGCTGGAGTCTTTATGGCATAAGGATATTTTTAGAATCCAAATGAAGTTGTTAAAGAATCCATGAATTCCAGAGCATTGTCACTTGAATCCTCGGACCATGGTGCTTGTCCTGTACGAGACTCCATTGAGGTCCTCAATCACCCACTTGAGCTCAGTCATGTCCATCACCCGGAAATGGACGATGTCTTTCTCGTGATTCCGCTGCTCTTCGATGTGGAGAGTCCCCTCGGCAAGATGGTTGAACCACGAAGTTAGGCCCCAACGTTTCTGTGACTCCGGTTTTGAGTCTTTCGACTCGCCTTGGCTGTTTGAAGTGCTCTGGACACGGCAAACGAAGTAGCCTTTGTCAGCTGCAACCTTGAGCAGCTCCTCGCTTTCACTACCATTGGCTCCAACAACCTGGTTTGCCGAATTAGATCCCAATAGCGTAGAGCAAAAACGAAAACTTACCAGCAAGACTCGCTTGGCTGGTAGCCTCCATTTTGTACATATCGAGTCCAGCATTCCTTCGCTGCTTGGACAGTCACATTGGTTGGAACTGTGATTCATGAAAAATGAAAAGTACCTGACGACTTCTTCTTGCAATCTCCTCACTTCCGCAAACTGGAAGCCTCCCAACTGGTTCATTAAGTTTCTAAGCTCAGCGTCTGGGCCACGAGCCAAAAGAGCTTGCGAAACACCACGCTCCTGGAAAAGGAAAGAGTTGGAAGCATAGAGAACAAAAGATTATAGAAGAGAGAACCGAAAGATAAAAACGAACCTCCAGGTATCGAATAAGAGCGGGGCAACCCGGTAGCACAGAGCTATCTTTTTCTCCAGGAGAAGTTGTGATCACCACCCCGAGCTTGGCTTGCTCTTGTCTTGCATCCGCTAATGCTTGCTTGTGTCTAAGCCTCTCGGCATACTTTGCTCGTATGCTGTCTCCTCTCCCCAGGATCTCTTCCAGGCCCTGCTTCTCTTGCAGCTTCTTCTTCCTCAAAGCCGCCGCCGAGGAGACACTGCCACTCCCAATCTTCTCCTGGAGTGCGCCAACATATTTCAGTCCCAGCTTCTCCATGACTTGCTCGGCCGACACATCTTCCACCTTTCCAACAGTCTCGTTCACGTTCTCGTGAACGAGATTGCTCCAGTCCCTGGATCCAGAGGACGCCATCTCCTTGATTCTTTTCCCTCGTTCTTGAGGAGGAATGGCCAAAGCCGCCATGTCGTAGATCACCCCACGCACTAGAAATCCAGTCTCCACGCCGTCACGAAGCTCCCGGCGGAGATAGAGCTCCTTGACGTCGAGATTGGTCCGCCAATTCCCATTCTCGATTCTGAATGCTTGCTTGTGCTGCTGCTCCTCGGGCAAGGCCAGCCCCGCCAGCGTGAAGAGCATCTCTTGGATCGTCGTCTGGATGTGCACCATGGAGAAGACTGACCAATCCACCTCAAATGAGACATAATCTTCCTCTTCTTCTTCCTCTGGCGCTGCTGCTGCTACATTCTTTGGATTTCTTGGCTGATGCTGGCGCTGTGGAGAAGGATCGGCCATACCTGGAACTGGAGGCGAAATCTGCGACGGCAGTGGCGCCAGCTTCCTCCTGCCCGGCCGATGGAGCCTCTGCGCGGCGAGATGCATGAGGCGGCGCAGCACACCCATCCCGGGCGCCGCCTAGGGCTCTTGCCGCCACTGCCAAGTGTGACCATTGAAAATATTCCTTGCAAGAAATTTTTTGGGAAGAAACACTCGATAACGATCAAGCTTTTCGAGGCTGGATTCCATCGCTGCTTGCGATCTCATCCGATCAGTCGCCAGGAGCAAGGATCTTCGCCAGGCCAGGGAGCTGCATTCGCGCCTCCGGCAAATCATCCCAGCGCTCCTCGCCAAGAGCAGGCTATTAGGGAATTGGATCGTAGACATGTACGGCAAATGTGGCAGCATAGAAGATGCCAAGGGCGCCTTTGATTCCCTCCACCACCCCAATGTCTACTCCTGGAATATCCTTATCACAGCATATGCCCAAACTGGGCATATACAGGAAGCGCGACACGTGTTCCACTGGATGACCGTCCGCGTCGTCGTGTCCTGGACGGCGTTGATACAAGCTCATTCCAAGCATGGGCAAATATTCGAGGCATCCAGAGCGTTCCAGAAAATGCCTCAACGAGATGCCGCCACGTGTACGGTACTTGTGACAGCATTTGCCAAGACTGCGCATTTGTCCGAAGCGAGGGCCTTATTCGCGAATATGCAACAAAGAAACGTTGTGGCATGGACGGCGTTGCTCACGGCATATGCCTATGACGGGCAAACGGCAATGGCAGAGGGTGTTTTTGCGAGAATGCCAAGCTGGAGCATTGCGCCTTGCTCGTCAATAATGACGGCATATGCCCAGGTCGGTAACGTTCCGTCAGCAAAACGAATCTTTGATTCCATGCTCGAGAGGGATGTGGTTTCTTGGACAGCACTTTTGCAAGTATATGCCCGGAAAGGGCATCTTGGTGCATTAGAGCAACTATTTGACATGATGCCAATGCGAAACGTTTTCTCGTGGACTGCCATGGTTGCAGCTTTGGCGGAAAACGGGCTGCTAGAAAAAGCAAGATTGTTTTTCAAAGAAACGCCACAACGGGACATGGTAATATGGCATGCAATGGTTGCAGCAAATGCCCAAGACGGGCATTTGCTAATGGCGCGAGAATTGTTTGAGAAAATGCCATGCCACGGAGTCGAGACGTGGTGTTTGATGCTAGTCCGCTACGCACAGATTGGAAACCTCCAAGAAGCGATATATTTCTTTGATTACTCCCCCAGGGTGGATGTGATCTCTTGCAACGCTATGATGTCTGCGTTTGCTCGCGAGAAACTTGTAGATCAAGCACGCAGGGTGTTTGAGCGAATGCCGCAGTGGAGTGTAATCTCCTGGACCGCGATGCTCGAATCCCACGCCTCGGCCGGAGAGATCAAAGAGGCAAGATTCCTGTTTGACCACCTCCACGAGCCAGACTTGACATCATGGATCGCGATGGTCGAAGCGTATGCCCGAGTTGGGCATATCTCAGAGGCAAAAAAGCTCTTCGATCGAATCCCTTTCAAGGAGATCGTTTCCTGGAACTCACTGCTTGCTGCCTATGGCCGGGGAGGATACCATCGGGATGCCGTCGAGAACTTCTGGGCGATGCAACAGCTGGGATTCGATCCAGATGGTATCACCTTCGTCACTGTCTTGAGCGCCTACAGCCACACTGGGCGAGTCGAGGAAGCTAGAAACTCCTTCGTTTCGATGGTGCTGGATTACAATCTGGTACCGGCGATGGAGCACTATGGTTGCATTGTTGACGCGCTTGGTCGATCTGGAAGGTTGTCAAGAGCATCTGATTTGCTGGAAAACATGCCCGTGTGGCCACCAGTGGAACCCTTGACATCGTATCTTAGCTCGTGTTTTAACAACGCGAACGATCCTTCCTCTAAAGTCTACACAGTTTCTTCACAAGACATCAATCTCTCTCCGCAACTTTGCGTGATCTAGATACCTGAAGACAGTACCATTTCATAGGCTCGAAGTTCCTTCTTCTATACACATTTTTTGGTTTCATCTTCACAAGAATCTTATTTCTGTGCCGTGAAGATCAGCTGGAAGCAACCAAGACACATGCCATAGTCGCACGGTCCACCACCACCGAGTCATAGAATTCGCGCAGTGATCCCACCAGGTGCCGCTTGCTATGCGGTGGATCTTCTTCTCGGCGTCAAGCATCTTGGAAGAGGCCAATCCTCGTCCATATCGGTTAACTACATGGTATGATGTTAAATTAACGCGAGCCCGGTTGCTGAGGAATTGGTTATCGGGTAAGTGTAGAGGTGGACCGGAAGTAGATGACCCGGCTTCGAGGCGGCCGAGGGTCCAATTAACAAGGACTTTATGCGAAAATCTTTTACGGAAGAAATACCCCAAATATTGCTCCGCCAGCTCAATAAAACAGGTTAGACCAGTCAGTTAACACTTCGGGCAAAAAGCACGTCGGGGGTTCGAATCTTGATAATTAACACTTTAGAGAGTTTTTAGCAGCATTGACTTGGACTATGGTTGCATGGGGTTGTCACTCAATCTAAGCTCAAAACACGAATGATCCTTCCACCGTTTCTTTACAAAACATCAATCTCTCTTTGCAATTTTGCGCGATTTAGCCATTACAAGGTACCATTTCATAGGTTCCTTCTTCGTCCATAGATTCTATACACAGTATTGTTTCATCTTCACAAGAATCTTATTTCTGTACGCGTGAAGATCAGCTGGAAGCAACCGAGACTGGAGCTCGCACCTGGACGCACAAGCCATGGTCGCACCTATCTGGTTTCGAGTGCTGGACTACCACCGGGTTGCCACTGGCGTCCAGGTCTAGCAGCGCTGTATCGCCTTCGCTGTAGTGTGACGAGAGGAGAGACTCGCTCACCGCGTCTTCGATGATCCTGGTGACCGCTCGCCGCAAGGGACGAGCTCCGTAAGCTTTGTCGTAGCCCTCGTCGCAAACCAGCTTCACGGCTGCTTCCGACACCTCCAGATTGATGCCTCGCTTGGCGAGCCTCTCTTTCGTCTCGGCTAGCATCATGTCAACAATGGCACGGACCTGCAAAAGAAGTGTTACGACGTACGCAAAGGGATGAGAGACTTATCTCTCACCTGAGCTTTCTCTAGCGATCTGAAGACAACCACTTCGTCTATTCTGTTGAGTAGCTCAGGCCTGAAGAAGTTTTTCAGCTCGTCCATCACCAGACCTTTGAGGTTTGTGTAGTCTTCGTCGCCACCTTCCGCGAACGAGAAACCGATCTTGCCGCTTCCTCCTCTTGCTATGGCCGAGGAGCCAACGTTGGATGTCATTATCAAAAGCGAGTTCCTGAAAGAGACGACGCGGCCCTGTAGAATCCAGCAGGTCAGCTTACAGGCATTACGGAAAATGCTTTACCTGTGAATCGGTAAGGCGACCGTCCTCAAAAATTTGCAAAAGCATGTTGAAGATATCGGGATGAGCTTTCTCGATCTCGTCCAAGAGAATAACAGTGAAGGGCCTCTTGCGAACAGCCTCTGTCAGCGTTCCACCCTCGCCATATCCAACATATCCGGGAGGAGAACCGATAAGCTTGCTCACAGTATGACGCTCCATGTACTCGCTCATATCCAACCTTATCATGGCGTCCTCCTGGAAGAAAAAAACCGTGGTAAGGCGCCATATGTGCATGCGTATGAAAGGACTTACGGCTCCAAAGAAGTGCTGAGCAAGAGCTTTTGTAAGCTCCGTTTTTCCTACACCGGTTGGCCCGCAGAAAAGCATGGCAGCGATCGGCCGACTTGGATCCTTAAGTCCGACTCGTGCCCTGCGAACTGCTCGCGATATGGCATTCACTGCATCATCTTGGCCAACAACACGCGTTTGCAGCAACTTCTCCAGATTAATAAGCTTCAGTTGCTCGTCCGAGGTAAGTTGCTCAATCGGAATACCAGACCACATGGACGTCACAGCTGCTATTTCTGAAGGTCCAACTATCACCGAGCTGCAGACAGAAACAAAGCTTAAGAAACGGAGAACAAACAAAAGTAGTGCATACCCTTCCATTAGTTCATTTACAGGTAAAGAAACTGACTCTTGGTCGATATCTACAGCCTTTGGTAAAGTGTTTGCAGCACTTTCAATAAGATACTCCGAGTCCCCAAGAGCACTTTGCGGAACAAAGGCCTGAAAAAGAATTGTTAGAACAACTTTCGGCACGACAAGCAAAATAAAGGTCACTTACAGCTTCTTGAGCAGCCTGGACAGCCCGAATTGCTTGCCAGTACTCGCTAGGTGTCTTGGAAAGAATGCTGACTCGCTCTTCTTTCCTGCGCTTAAACGCATCAATTCGGGCTCTACTGCCAGCCTCGTCGATCAAATCAATCGCTTTGTCGGGAAGGTATCGATCAGCTATGTATCTCGACGACAAATATACAGCCGCATCAACTGCTTCCTGTGTAATTCTACATTTGTGATACTCTTCGTATCTATCACGTATTCCTAAAAGAATCTTTACAGCGTCTTCCTGCAAACCAAAAAAATCGTCAACAACAACATATACCAAGTATCAACACAAACCTGACTAGGTTCATTTACAATAACAGGTTGAAACCTCCTTGCTAGCGCTTTATCTTTTTCAATGTGTTTTCTATGCTCGTCGAGTGTTGTGGCACCTATACACTGAAGAAAAAAGCGTAAGCATAATCGTTATTAACACTGAAAACATTATCTTTACCTGAAGTTCGCCTCTCGCTAATGCAGGCTTCAATAGATTCGCAATGTCCAAGCCTGCCCCATTATTTCCACCTCTTCCACCAACAGAACCCGACCCAACGAGCGTATGGACTTCGTCTATAAGAAGTATAACATTGCCTGGTGATATCAAGCATGTCAGATACAGCATTCTAAGTATAAATAAACGGAAAACTTCACCTGCTTTTCGCGTTTCCTCTATGAGGCTTGTAACCCGAGATTCTAGTTCACCACGCTCCTTAGCTCCAGCAAGAAGCAATCCCATATCCAGAGACATCACTCGCTTCCCCTGTATGCGCAAGCAAGAATAAGTAAACTTCACCGCAGTTTAAAAATCTACTCACCGTGAGAAACTCTGGAACGTTTCCACTCGCAATACGTATGGCAAGGCCTTCAGCAATCGCTGTCTTGCCAACGCCAGGCTCCCCAAGCAAGATGGGATTGTTTTTGGTTCTTCTTGCTAGAATCTGTACAACTCTTTGCACTTCACTGTCTCGGCCAATAACAGGATCAATTTTCCCGTCACTAGCACGTAAGGTAAGATCCACACAAAAATCGTTGAGAGCACCTTTTTCTAGAAGACGGCGTGGTAAGACGACAAGCATCGAAAGCAAACTAATAAGTAAAGAGCGAACCTTTTCTACCAGGACGCTTGCTTGACGAAGCCGCTGTAGCTCCAGACTTGGCTGGCAAACTCATAGCAGGAGGCGGTGTTCTTCCGTCCTTGGCAAGTTCTCCCTGTAGTCTCACGATTGACTCAGCTTGTAGCTTTTGCGTTTTCAATCCAAGCCTGAAAGAAACACGCAAAAACGGAGTCAGCCACACTCAATCAACCATTTTCTAACTATCTATCACGTACTTGTCAAGAATCTTTGTAGCTCCCCCATCGTCCACCGTGAAAAGAGCAAGCGCTATATGCTCCGGGGTGATGTAGTTATGTCCCATCTTCTTGGACTGCTCCAGCGCCGCCTCAAACACCCTCTTGCTTCCACTCGAGAAAGGAATCTCGGACGCTTGCTTATCGGACGTGACAAACGTTTGATTGCTCTCCTGGAGCAAGTTCTTCAAGGCCTCCCTGGCTCGGTCGATGGTAACGCCAGACCCGAGAAATCCTTCTCCATTCCTCTCCTCGGCAATCAATCCCAGCAGCAGCTGCTCGGTCCCCACGTCCTTCTTTCCAAACAGCTTGGCCTCCCTCTGGGCGAGCATGATGGACTTGATAGCTCTCTCCGTGAATCGCTCAAAGACCGCGCTCACGACGCCCCGGCAACCAGCTCTAGCCTCGCCGGGACTTCTTGCTATCAAAGAACTCGAGACTGCCTGATCGAATCCCTCGGAGAATGAAACTGGGCGGAGGAAATCGATGGCGGTGGAGCACCTCCTCAATCCTTCGTGCTGATACCCGCGCGATTGGAGGAACGCCGCGCAGCTCGACTTCCTCAGCGCCGCCGCTGCCGCCGATGGAGGGGGTCTGCTGTGGTAGTACACGGGGCTGCCCAGATTACATCGCGGGGACGAGCTGCCGTGCTCGAAAATGCGCGCCTGGTGAATCGTGTTCGACGTGCTCGCGGCCGCCATCGCCATGGATCAAATCCTTGCCACAACGGGACTGGCTCAAGATTTCACCTGGAGAGAAGCCGGATTGGAGCTTGGCTCGAGCAAGAAACGAGAGCGCGGCCACTGCTGGTACTCGACGCGTTGCAAAACCCTAGGAACAGGAAGAAGGAAGATCCAACCTCGGCCCCACTGCGGTTGAGTGCTCTCGATCTGGTGTCGTCGCGGCGATGGCGGCAGCGGCAATCCAACCCCCACGCGCTGTGATCCTTCGCGTCCACGCTTCCTCTACAATGGCCGCCCTCGCCGCGCATTTTTCTAGTCAGCGAGGAAGAACACCAGATCACCAAGGGGTGCAGCCGGGGTGTTGTGGGCCGTTGGATGGGAGATCCGACGGCTGTGGACTCGCCACGACAGGTAGTCCGAGAGCGGGAAATTGTGGGTGGCCACCAGCGAATATTCGCGCCGGCGAAAGTAGAAGTCGCGTGTATTTACCACGTGGCTTATGAGTATATGTGTTGCATGCAAAGACTAGCACCACGTAGCTGCATTGCTGTGTTCGTTAGAAACCTCTATGAAAGGTGGTATAACTATGGTCAACACTAGTTGATTATGGCAAAGTCAATGAATTGTTGACGAGAAGAAGAATATGAGATCACGATGGACACAAGTCACTCATTGCTTGACACGATCGAGAAAACTATTGGCAGAAACTATCAAAGAGGAAACTTTCATTCATAGATTAGCGAGGAACTCTTTGTTTGACACATGATATGAGAGAAACTTTATGGGCCAAACTTCCAATTCATAGATTTGAGAGGAATTCATAGAGCTCACTAGCAACTCGTCCAGGGAACTCCTCGTGTGCCAAGAGAGCTCCTGGAATTTCCACAAGCTTGGCCACACCCTTGGCATCCCGGAGAGCTTCCATCTCGGCTCTGGAGCGCCTCGGACTGGCCGTGGAAACCATGACCAACGCTGGGACTTTCCCGTCCAGAGCGCCAAACAGCTCCACAAATTCTTCCCGGCTCTTCACTGGATCAAGCAGGCCAGTGAGAAAGGCCGCAGGAGCGTAGCGAGCTCCCGGGAGCTTGGTGAGAGCGAGGCGGCTATCGACGATGGCGTCAGTCACGTTGCTCGACTCTGAGTAGACGTGACTTTCGTACTGTTTTCGTATGTTGCTCCGGCTGCTCACGAGTGCGTTGTAAAGAGCCCAGCCCACGGCAGGAGCTCGCAAAGCTCCTCGAAGGAATCCATACCTGTGCGTAAACAATGGCAAAAGCGATAAAGTTGAGAAAGAAAAGAATGACTTTGGAACTAAGCACTGCTTACTTGGATACGGCATCGGGACTTTGTCCGAAAACAATTGGCAAAGGTCCGGCCCATGTTGGAGCTACCGCAACCAAAGCTCGGGCATTTATCTTTCCTCCGGCGATGGCCTTTGCGGCAATGGTTGCAGCATGACCACCTCCGGCAATCACTGGAGCTGGAGTATAAGAAACTAGTTAACTCTTGCACTAGAGTTCTAGAGCAAAGAAAAAAATGTACACTGACCTGTTGTGCTTCCAAGAGGTCCATCTTGAGCCATGACAAAGTCTACGAGGAACTTTTCCAAGGTATCAGCAGTGTAGTCTATCGCTGGCCTGTCCGAGAGGCCAAATCCCGGCCAATCCACAATCACAGACCTCCACGAACTGTCCTTTGTGACGATATCTTGAGACACGGCTTTCCATTCTTCCGTGGTGCTCACGTCCGACACAGTTGGAAGTAGTAGCAGGCATTTGTCTCCAACACTGGATTGCTCGACAAAATTGATTTTCAAGGAGGAATTGTTGTGCCTCCACGACCAAGATCCAGTCTAACAAACAGCTACAACTAGCTTGGTTGGGAACTAGAAGGAGGAAATGTACCTTTGTTGGTGCTGGTTTCTCAGCAAGCGCGGCCTTTGGAGAAAATTTACGCAATGAAGTGAAGCAAAGTTTTGATCCTTTTGGTGTCACAATTGCGCTCCCAAGACGCAATTGTCCTAGCGCTGAGCCCTGTACAGAGACGGCCATAGCCACAACAAAAAAAAATCTCAGTCAAAACTTCTAGACAAACATACCGTTGATTTTTTCTTACTTCTAGAAAGCGACCTCCTGTAACAGCATAAAAACTTATAAGAACGAAAGAAAGAAAAAAAACTTTCTTACCATGCACCTAGAAGCCAAGCAAAGCAACTAGCCACTGGAAGAAAGAAAAACCAAGTTTTAGAAGCCAAATATGAATCAATCTCTTACTTGATTCTTCCGAAATTCTCAGGCCTCCTCTGTAGCTCCAGCAAAAATCCCTGCCAGAAGCGAGTATCCCGACGTGTTCTCCGGATGGCTTCTAAGAAGTGACTCTGCAACTGAGGCTCCACGACCAACATCACCATCCGCTCGACAAGAATTGAGCAGCGTTGTCAATGCCATGGAGTCGGGCACAAAAGGCATACTCTGCACGAGCTCCACGGCATCGCTCACGCGCCCAGACCGAGCAAGGATGTCCACCATGCAGTGGAAATGCTCCACGCTCGGAACAATCTCCTGGTCCCTGGACATGGAGACGAAGTAGTAATGGCCATCGTCGACGAGCCCAGCGTGAGAGCAAGCAGTTAGAACTCCCAGATAAGTGATCGTGTTTGGCCTCAGCCCAGCTTGATCCAGCAGCCGGAAGAGCTCCAGAGACTCATCGTCCATGCCGCTGCTAGCATAGGCTTGGATCATCGTTGTCCAGGCGATCACACACTGCTGGGGAGTGGCATCGAAGAGTATCCGAGCTTCCTGGAGCTGGCCGGCCTGTCCGAGCGCTTGAATCATCGTTGTCCAAGAGAGAGCACTGTTCTTGGGCATCCGTGAGAAGACACGACGAGCCTCGGCAATATGCCCGCTCTGGGCATATCCTTGGATCAAGGCTGTGAACGCTACCAAGTCCTTGCTGGGCATTCGATCGAAAGTTTCTCTAGCTCTGTCCATCAGCCCTTTGAGCGCGTAAGCAGCGAGCATCGACGTCCAGGCCACTGTGTCTAGATCCAGCCTCGAGTGGAAGAGCTTCTCAGCCTCTTCAAGATACCCATTCAAGGCAAATCCCTTGACAAGCGCGCTCCACACCACCACGCTTCCCAAATCCTGGTACTTCTCTAGCAGATCCCTTGCGGCGTCCATCTCTCCACCCTGCCCAAGCGCTGTAATCACCGTGTTCCACGAATTCTCGTCCCAGCACGGCATTCTCTCGAGCAAGACTCTCGCGAGATCCGCCTGGCCGGATTGGCTGTAACCCAGCAGCATCCCATTCCACGAGACCAGATTCTTCCCCGGCATGGTGTCGAAGATCCGGCGGCACTCCACCGCTCCACCCACCTGGGCGTTCGCGGTGAGCAGCGCCGTCCACGAGAACACATCCCTGGCCGGCATTCTCTCAAAGATCCATCGCGAGGATTCCACTCGCCCGCTCGTCGCGTACGCCTGGATCATCGTGTTCCAAGAAACCAAATCCCTGCCCTGGACGATCCCATCGAACAAGCCCCGCGCCTCGACCGTGTGGCCGCTGTCCGCGTAGGCGACGATCATCGCGTTGACAGCCACGGCATCGCGATCCTCCGGCATGGAGTAGAAGATCTGGCGCGCGCCCTCGAGATCCCCAGCTAGGGCATAGCCCTGGAGAATGGCGGTCCAGGAAACGAGATTGGGCTGTGGCATTCTATCAAAGAACGATCGCGCGAGGTCCACGTGTCCGACATTGGCGTAGGCAGTGATCATGGCCGTCCATGAGACCACGCTCTTGAGCGGGAGCTCCTCGAACGTGGATCTGGCCTCCTCCAAATGCCCGGCCTGGGCAAATGCTGTAATAAGGAGATTATAGGAGAATGTGTTGGGCATTGGCATCGATTGGAACACCGCCAATGCGTCGGCAGCGCTGTGGCATTTTCCATAGCTCTCGATGAGGAGATTGAGTAGGAATCGATCGCCTCTGTTAGTCTTGCTCGCGCTGATTTGGGCGTGGATGATTCGAGAGCGGGCGAGGTCCCTGGCTGCGCCGGCGACTTTGATGGCTCTTGCAGCTTCTTTCCAATCGAATGATTCGGAGGAGAAAGAGCTTCCAGTCAGATCGAGAAGAGATCTCGCTCGTTTCCTCTCATTCCTGAGGAGCATAACATTTGGTTCAAGCTAAATATGAGCTTTATTATGTTAAGACTTTTTAAGCCGGCAGTTAAGGTAAGAGTTTTAACCAAATGCATTAAGCATCAGTAGTCCAATGGTTAGGATAATTGCCTTCCAAGCAATAGACCCGGGTTCGACTCCCGGCTGATGCATTAATTCAGGGAAACATTTTATGTAACCACGACCTAAAGGTGATTTTCCTAAGTTACCAAAAGGAACTACTTAAACACGAGCATCTAAACAGTGGAGACCTAAGGGAAGACACATTTTCCTTTACGAGAGTTATGGCGTCGTGGTTGCAAGCTCTGTTGAACGTGACGGACTTCTTCACAGTGTGTGAACTCCACGCCAACTGCACATCCGGGAAACGCAAGAAGAGCTTCTTCTGCAAGCAGTGCTTAGTGTCCCTGTGTCAAGAATGCAAAAAGGATCACCGGACTTGCGACTCCCGAAACGCTTTGCAGATCGTAATCTCAGGCCGCCTTACTGCAGTCAAGGCGTGTGAAGCGGAGCGCCTCATCGATACGTCGGGGCTGGAGACGTTTACCATCAACGGAGGCCCAATCTTTTATCTCCACGCCAGGCCCCGAGGAATAGAGGTGCAAAACTCGGTACTATGCCGCCACTGCAAGAGGGTGCTGCACGGAGCTCTCTACTGCTCGCTCTACTGCAAGCTCCAGTGTGAAGGGTTCGTCGCGCATCAGCAGGCCCAAGTCGATCAGGGTCAGGAGAAGAACATTCCGCCACCTTTTGGCGAGGTCGCCCCAGATGGTGATGCACAACGAATGCAACCGAGAAGTGAGCTCAACGATCATCAAGCCCGGGTCGTTAAGGTCAAGCCAAAGGATCGACCTAGGGCTCCCAAGGCGAAAAAGGCTCCATCCAACAGGAAACGAAAGCAGCCAGAGCAAAGCTCCATTGAGCAAGTTTGTGCGAGGAGGAGAATGGACGAAGCAGTACATGTGTTTAGTGCCCCTTGTAATACTGTCGAGCATGACAAGCGTCAAGCTCCTGCTCTTCAAGGATTTAGAAAGCGGGCAAGGAAAGGTATCCCAACAAGGTCACCCATGTTTTGAAATGTAAATTCTATGATGAATGAACAATTCAATGTTATATTGTGCTTGATCTTCACTCACCTTTTTGTTGAAAAATGTATATTAAACACAAAACATTGTTTATTTACAGTTTGTAAGCTTCAATAACTTGCTCCTTGGACGGAACGTTCACGAGGGAAACGTTGCCAAAGCCACTTTTTTCAAGCAGCACCATGTGTTCTTCAAATCGCCTGGTCTTGCCACCGTCGGTGTAGGTCCAGCTCCGTCCTTGGAGTACATAAGGTCGACCACTATCATTTTGCCTCCTCGTGGCCGAGCTTTGTTGCAATTCGCCAGCATCTTCAGGCAATCCTCGTCGCTAAAATTGAGCAAAGTAGACTGAAGAAACACCAATGATCAAAACAAAGAGCAACCTTGATAAAAAAGAGCATGAGCACTTGGTACACTCTCAAACATATTTGCAGTAACACCTAAAAAAGCATAAAGACATGGAGGAATCAGAAACAAAACTTTAATCCTTACCGGGAATGGCTGGATCTCAACAGTGTGAGGGAGATCAAAGTTGGCACCTTCGATGTGGGGATATTTCTCCACGATCTTGCCCATGCACATTCCAAGGCCACCATCCACGAGCTTCTTCACGTCTTTGAAGCCATCGTAGTGCTCGAGGACGAGGGAGATGGTGACGCTGCTCCACGCGACCATAGCATCGTTGAGCAGCTTCACGTACTCGTCGCCGTGGCCAGGGTCGTGCTCCCAAACACGACATTTGTTGGCAATCTCGTAAGCGTGGCCTCCATTCAGCACCACCTTTAGGACGTGCACCTTCAGCACCATTCAGCGCGTGCGTGCATAGCAGCAGGTGATGATGCTCCTCCGCAAGCCCCTTTGAGATTGGAGTGAGGCCGTAGTACGTTTCTCCATCTTTCTCGTCGATCTTCTTGCTCAGTGCCCCCTTGTGGACCAGAAACTGGAGGAGTCTCTCGAGGAGATCCGGCTGACAGTTCTTCGCGTTCGAGAGACATGACACGATAGCGAGAAGAGAGATCAAAGTGGCCTTGAGCATCTTCATTCATGGTGCTAGATCCAGGCACCATACTGCCTATTGATTCTGAAAGGCGAGAGTAAATGAGAACCTTCTTTAAGACTGGTTGAAATGTCACTTCCCTGTCTACTGTATTTTAAGGTCCACGCTGCCAGAACAGCGTGACAAAGTCGGAAAATATCCTTGCGTGACAAAGTCAGGGTTGCAAAAACTATATCTTCATCGGGATTTCACGATCAATAAATAGGCTCCTGCATCATCTTGATCATCATCAAGCTCCAGCAGTGACTTGAATGCTAGCTGCCCAACGCCAGTAAAACTGAGACGAAAGTAATCCAAACGCTTCGTCTTGCATCTTATGAAAGAGGCTGAAAACTTCGTGAAGCTGCTAGAGCGTTTTACCATGTCTTCTCCGGGCGTAGAGTCGAAGACCAACCGAGAGCTTCATTGGTTTCATCCCCAGTTCTGCAAATTTTTGTCACCGGCACTCAAGAAAGTAAAATAAAGTCAATTCAAAGTGAACATAGTCAATGTAGAGTCAAGGCAGAATGTCATATGGCCATTTGAGGCCATGTTGTGTCGAAAGATCTATAAATAAATGTAAGTCTTCGCTACCGCAAAATAATCAAACGAGGAAACTGCTGCAACATCTCTATCATTCAGCAATGATCGATGTAAGACGATGAAATGACACACTCCTGATTCGAGCCAACATCACCGTATCCATATGCTATAGTTGTCACAAAAGTTAAGCAGCAGTTGACATACCAAGCACTCCATGGCGTCGGTCACGCGTCCAGAGTGCGAAATTCTTCATGGTTTAGGCCACCTATCCCCAAGCGGCAAAATCTCCAGGAAGAATATTATCCAAGCCTCAAACTCTTTTATTTTTATCGATGATGCTCGCTTCAACACTGGAGCAGTCCATATTGTCAACGGCGACAATAAACTCTAAAATACAACTAGCACAAACATCTCATTCACTTTGTTTAGAGCTTGTAAGCTTCTATAACTTGCTCCTTGGAAGGAACGGCCACGAGGGAAACGTTGCCAAAGCCACTGTTCTCGAGCAGCGCTTTGTGTTCTTCAAATCGCCTGGTCTTGCCACCGTCGGTGAAGCCGATCATAATCATGTCCAGGTCCATCTCGAATGGTCCCTCCTTGGAGTATATGAGCTCGATCACTATCAGTTTGCCTCCTCGTGGCAGAGCTTTGTAGCAATTCGCCAGCATCTTGAGGCAATCCTCGTCGCTAAAATTGATGATAACAGACTGAAGAAACACCACGACGATCACAACCTCAAGGAAAAGAAGACAGAGTACCTTGATAAGAAGAGCGTCAGCACTTGGAACACTCTCAAACATGTTGCCTCCCACATGAGCAACACCTGTTAAGAAAAAACATGAAGAAATCAAAAGAAGATGTGTCTTGAATCTTACCGGGAAAGGCTGGAGCGCTCGAAACGGTGTGAGGGAGATCAAAGTTGACACCTTCGATGTGGGGATACTTCTCCACAATCTTGCCCATGCACATTCCAAGGCCACCGCCAACATCCACGAGCTTCTTCACGTCTTTGAATCCATCGTAGTGCTCGAGGACGAGGGAGATTGTGACGCTGCTCCAAGCGACCATAGCATCGTTGAGCAGCTTCACGTACTCGTCGCCGTGGCCGGGGTCGTGCTCCCAAACACGACTTTTGTTGGCCATCTCGTAAGCGTGGCCTCCATCCAGCACTGCTTCGTTCACCTTTTGGAACGCGGCCATGGGATACTCGTGCGTGCACAAGAGCAGGAGATGGTGCTCTTCCGCGAGCCACTTTGAGATTGGAGTGAGGCCGTAGTACGTTTCTCCATCTTTCTCGTCGATCTTCTCGCTCAGTGCCCGCTTGTGGACCAGAAACTGGAGGATTCTCTCGAGGAGGTCCGGCTGAAAGTTCTTGACATTTGAGAGACGTGACACGATCTGCTTGAGGGAGAGCGGGCCTGCCTTGGAGATCATCTCGGGAATGCCGAGCAGCACCACAGCCTTGAGCATGAAAGGAGTCACCAGCGAGAAGATCATGCTCTTGAGATCAAAGTGGCCTTGAGCATCTTCACTCATGGTGCTAGGCGCCATACTGCCTTCTGCTTCTGAAAGGATGAGAGTAAATGAGAGCCTTCTTTCAGCCTGGCTGAAATGTCACTTCTTTTCTAGTGTATTTTAAGATGGACGCTTGACAAAGTCGGAAAATATCCTTGCGTGACAAAGTCAAGGTTGCAAAAACTATATCTTCATCGGGCTTTCACCATCAATAAATAGGCTGCTGCAACATCTCGATCATCACCAAGCTCCAGCAGTGACTCGAACGCTAGCTGCCCGATGCTCGAGTTTTTCCACTTGCCACAAGCACCTAGCACAGTCCTCCAAGTCAGTGAACTCGGCTCAAAAGGCATCCTTCTCACCATGGCAACAGCCTCATCCAGCCGGTTGGCTCGGCCGAGAAGATCAACCACGCAGTGGTAGTGATCAATGTCGGGTTTTACACCATACTTGGACATCATTTCCTCAAAGTAGCGAGTGCCCCGCTCGACAAGGCCAGCATGACTGCATGCCGTCAAAACTGAGACAAAAGTAATACCATCAGCTCCAAGAGCTTCGTCTTGCATCCTGTGAAAGAGACCGAGAACCTCGTCAGAATCCCCTTGACGAGCGTAAGATGCTAACAGAGCGTTCCAGCTTACCATGTCTTCTCCGGGCGTAGAGTCAAAGACCAGCCGAGAATTAATCGTGCTTCCACACTTGCCATACAAATCCACCAAGCAAGCAGCTAGAACTTCATCGTTTTCATCCCCAGCTCTGCAAATTTCTCTGTGCAGCCTTCTCCCTGTTTCCAAATCCACCTGATTGCTACAGGCCTTGAGAGCAGCGGCGAAAGTTTGCGCATCAGCCGAGTAGAGCTCCTCGTTTTCCTGGAGCTCAAGGTATAGCTTGAGAGCAAATTCTTCCTCACCATTCTCGGCATAACCGAGAATTAACGTGTTCCAGGAGACGAGATCATGGCATGGCATCCTGTCGAAGACCATTCTGGCATCGAGCATATTTCCACACCGCGCATATAACTCCACCAGGGTGCTGCTAACAAAAAAGTCTGCCTCCCAGCACCCGGCTGCTGCTTGAGAATGGATAGCCATGCCTCTGTCTAGAGCTCGTAGCTTCACAGCCTTTCCATCGTCGACATGCTTCCCTGGCTCTCCTACAGCAAGAGCAATGCATGCGTTCAATGCAGCAACATAAGACTGCGCGTCGGGCTCAACTCCCATGACTGAGAAAAGTTCCAGGGCCAGTTCTTCGTTCCCGTTCTCCACGCAGCCGGCCATCAAAACAGTCCACGAAACCACGCTGTGAGAAGACATCCTGTCGAATGCCCTGCGTGAATCTTCCAAGCTCCCACACTTTGCATAAGTGTCCACGAGCGTGTTGTCGAAGAAGATGCTCAAGTCCAAGGAGTACCTCAAAGCTTGAGAGTGAACCATCATCGTTTTCTCAAGAGCCTTCAGCTTGCTGCCTGGTAAACAATTCTCGGCTAGTCTCCCACAAGCTCTGATTGCAGCAATGAAAACCCCCGAGTCTGGCTCGCAACCTTCCGGCTTCATGAACTCGAAAACTTCCAGAGCCCGGCTTTCTTCTCCATTCTCAGCATAAGCCAGGATCAAAGTAGTCCACGCCACAACATCAGGATAACTCATCTCCCCGTAGGCTCTCCATGCATCAACCAAGCTTCCACACTGAGAATACATCTCCACCAAAGCAGATCCCAGGAATGCATCCCTGTCACAGCTCCCCGCTAAGCCATGAACTTCACGGCCCTTCTCCAAAGACCTTACCTTCACCAGCTTTCCATCAAGTTTCCTCGCCTGTTCTTTGGCTGCCAAGTTGCTACAAGCCTTCGTTGCAGCAACAAACGTTCGAGAATCGAGCTCGCAGAAACCATCCATAGACTTGAAAACAGCAAGAGCCAAATCTTCCTCATCGTTTTCTACATAGCCGAGGATGAGTGAGTTCCACGATACCACATTGCTGGAGTCCATCTTATCAAATATCATGCGTGCATCCAGCAGTGTACCACACTTCCCATACATGTCCACAAGGCTGGTTGCCAGAAAACTCTCCGAGATCCAGCCAGTCTTGACGGCTTCACTGTGAACCGACATTCCTTTCTCCAGAGAAGCTAGTTTGACGAGTTTTGTGCCAGCGACGACCTGTCCCTCTTCTTTCAAAGCCAGACTCGTGCAGGCCTTCACAGCCACTGACAACGTTCGAGCATTTGGAGCGCACCGCGCGTTCTCTTTCATGGACGCCAGAAGTTCCAGTGCCAGATCTTCCTCTTCGTTCTCGACATATCCCAGCATCAAAACTGTCCAGGCCACGATGTCCGGCGAGCTCATCCTGTCGAACACTGCCTTCGCATCGACCAAGCTCCCACACTTTGCATACATCTCCACCACGCTGCTACAAACGAAAGCATCCCCCTCGAATCCAGTGCTCGCTGCTTGCAAGTGAAGAGCCCTGCCCCTCTCCAGACTTTTCACCTTCCAAATCTTTCCATGGAGTTCTCGGCCTCTTTCTCTCGACGCCAGCCCCGCGCACGCCTTGAGAACAGCAGTGAAAGTCCGCTCGTTTGGAGCACAGCCTTCCTGTTGCATGGTAGAAAAGAGAGTGAATGCCAAATCAATTTCCCCATTCTCGGCATACCCGGCAATCATAGTAGTCCACGAGACAACGTCGCGAATCGTTGGCATGGCATCAAACACGGCCCTCGCGAGCGCCATGCTTCCACACTTCGCATACATATTAATCAGGCTGCTGGCCACACGAATGCTGCAAGAATCATGACTGGATTCGATGGCATGAGCGTGGATAATCGTCCCGGTCTCTAAATCTCTCAAGCTGCTGCACGCTTTCAGTGCGAAAATCACAACAGGAACCACATCCGGCTCCTCGTGACTCACACGCTACAAAGAAGATCATCAAGCACGCATCATCGAGGGAGGAAATCAAACTTACAGCTTCTTT